TTGGAACCGGCCCCGAGTCTACCACCCGCCCGGGGAATCCGAAAAGCAAGCGAAGGCCTCTGCTCGCATCGAGCGCTTGCTTGCCCGGGCCATGAAGAACCATCTGCACGACGCGGATCCATCAGCCGCCGATGCGGCCCTCAAGAAAGCATTCGGCAGGAAGCTGATGGAATGGCTGGAGACTGAGAATGCCGGAGACACCAACGTTGACGGGAGCAAGAAGCTGGAGATCACTGATGTGAGGCCGCTAGATGCAGATGAACAAGAACAAGTCCGGGATCAAGTTCCAGCTAAGTGGCTTCCGAAAATACAGGATTCGATGCCTTTCATGAATTGTATTGAGATCGAGGGCCAGGCCGTTCGCGAAAGAACCGAAGGCTTCTGGCGACGCCCGGGGTTGTCCAAACGTCTTGGTATTGCTGGTGTTGCGACTGTAAGTGGCCTGGTGATTACTGGGTTCCTACTATACCGTTTTGGTCCTCGGGATGGTAGTCTGTTAGCACCGAGAGTAGCTACCGACAGTTCCTCTTTATCGGACACCCCAGGCAACACGGCAACCAGCTCTATGTTGCTCACGACGCAATTCCCACCGACGACGCAATTCCCACCGACGACGCAATTCCCACCCACGACGCAACTACCGTCCTCATCGCTCCACTCGTATGAGGCCGAGGCCTTGAAGTACCAGCGAGCCCTGGCGTACGATTGTTTAGCCGTGTCCGAGTCCGACTTGGTCAACCAGTGCCACCCGAATCCGGAAAAGCGCCCCGAGCCAAACATCGATGACATCACGACATTACTTTCTGGATATGATTTGGCGACGCTACGAGTACCTGCCGGCACTTGCAACGATGCGTTTCACCGGATGAAGTCCCAATCGATGGTGAAAGCAGCGCCGGGCGGTTGGAAGACGTTAGACTGGTCCCAGGTAAACGGCGGAAAGGTAATTTGCACTGACGAGAATGGTCAAGACGTGACTTGTCATTATTTCGGCGAACCGTTCAAGTACGATTTGCCTACTGTCTGGGATGCGGTCAACTACTACCTGAAGCCCTACCAGTGCCTGTTTACAGACAACGGATATGTAGGTAACGATCTCGAATACAGGGGGGGGCGCGCAAGGGGGGTTGCAAAGTGGTTAGGAGGTGACTTATACGGATTCGACGATGA